TTTGTAAAGTATATTGTATCCTTATACCTCAAAGACTTTCTTGCAAAATTTTTCTTTGGTAGCAGTTACATTTGGCATATAGCCAAGATGTTTAGTGTTTACATTTGGAAGACTGTCTAGGATCAAGAATGAAGAATCCTCAATAACACTTTTCACATAGGATAACATTCTCTCATTTCTGAGCACAGAAAGCAAAAAAAGAAAACCAACCCTTTGTAATTTGATTTCACATTTTTCATCCTTAATATAAAATACATTCTCTTGAGAGTGCTAGATTGTTTAAATAAGGGATGCCAAACCAGTATGATTACATGGATGCTATGTGTAACACTGACTCCATATTCACAGTTCAAATGGTGCGGGGGATTATAGATATATGGTCTATAAAGAGTTATAAATCTTTGTTTATTTTATTAAATATTATGAGACATGCCCTGAAGATGACAGATCAATAATGGTTCTGTGGTTTCCTGATGGAAGGCTGCAATTATTTTCTTCCATTACAACTTAAATGTAACTCAATTTTATTCATCTATCATCTTTATAATAGTAATAAAGAAACATCACTGTATGTTTATTTTTCTACCTATTCCTATTATTCCTTGTTTGCATCTTGTTTTGATTTTTGTTCTCATTGAAAATTGTTCCAATCATTTTGGTTTTTTCCTTTGATGGCTCTGAACAGTGACCCTTTCACTTTGGCACTGTGAAACGGAGATGGAAAACTACCACCTTAAGCTTCCTTTATTTTGGGAAGCAGTTGGCTACTCTCTGAATTTGAGTATAAACGATATTTAAAAACAAGGAAGCTTGATACAATCTATGAGGCTGAATTTTTCTAAAGCTGCATTACCCCAAATTCTTTTTTTTTTTTTTTTGGTACCGGGGATTGAACTCCAGTCCTTGCACTTGCGACGCAGGCAGCGGAACCACTGAGCTAAATCCCCGGCTCTACCCCAAATTCTTTTACTTTTTGGTACCGGGGATCGAACTCGGGTCCTTGTGCTTGTGCAGCAGGCAGCGAAACCACTGAGCTAAATCCCCGGCCCACTACACCAAATTCTTAATGCAAAATATAGTACATAAACATAACGTAGTTGGGATTTTAACTCATGAAAAAAGCAGAACTTAACACCTTCTGTCGGACTACAGTACAAATTTGATTCAATTGTCTTTCTCTCTACCCTCTCCCCCCTTAAACTATCACCAATCCTTACTCCATCATTTAAAAAATATATTAAATCTTAAACGGTATTAATAAATTCAGCTTTATGGAGGTAGGTCACTCATAAAAGCTAGGGAGGAAAGCAAAAGAGCTTTATGAGTAACAGAACCAGAATATTCCTCTTCCATGAACGAATCCAACCATTTGAATTTACCATTCTTTAAACAAGCAGTCTTTACAATAGTAGCTGATATTTATTATGTGCCAAGAACTAAGTTAGGACTTTTTAGAGCTACTATTGCACTTGTGCACAGTTCTGTATGAAGGCAGAAGAGTTCTGCTAGTGTCAATAATGTTTTCATGCCCATTCTGGTAGAAAAGGGTGGGATGCAGAGATCTGAACCCAGATCTCTGACTTTAGTCTCCTTATTAGGCAATGCCGATTCCCAAAGAGCTAAATTTATGGTCATCTTTTTGTGCTAGGTACTTTATATACATTATCCTAAATTTTCACAAAACCCCGTGAAGTAATTACTGTTATCTGCATGTTGCACATGACACCTTGCCTCTGAGAGGTTGAGTAATGCTGCAGGATTCAGAATGCTGGTATGAGCAAAGCCAGAACCGACACCCAGGTGTGTCTAGCACCAAATGTCATGCTTTTCCCCTTCAACTGATCCATCATTGGTCATTTAAATGAATAAAATGTTGGTGAAAATGTTTGCTACAAATTTACTTTCATTCTTTCAAATGCTTATGTAAAGAGCAACACTTTGACAATGGGACTGCAAGAAAAACATTATAATGTATTAACTGTATTTTATTTCAAGAATCCTTTTTTATTTTAACTTTAATTTAAAATCTTTCCAAAATGTACCATTCCACTGCTCTTAGAAAATAATATTATAACTCAGGGAATAGAATCTGTGGTGGTTTGGGAAGTTAAAAAATTTCTCCTAATTAGTATTGATTCTCATTTTGTAGAAGACTGGGCCTATGTGCTCTGATTCTATTTTTTTCTTAGATACGTCATGTTAAAAAAGCCTGTATATTTGATTGTTGGATATTCCAGTTAATTTTAAGCAAATTAACTGAATTTTTAATAGTTTCTCCCCAAATAGAAGGTAAAGGTTTTTTTTCTCCCCAAATTTTGGTCTTTACAAGGTCTACATATTATGGAGCTATTTTTTCAGTTATTCTATTTGAATAATAATGTACTATGCAGAGAATATACATTAGCCCAAAACACTTCAATCAATATTAATTTAGGATATTCAGCCATGAATGGGTAAAAAGGATAATAAATATATTAAAGATGGTAATTATTGTGGGTGGTATAATCTCACAGTTTTCAGCGTTGGAAGTTATTGTAAATAAATCTTTTAAGAATCACTTTCAAAAGTAACATTCTTGATTTTACATTGTGAAAATCAGGAACATATTCTTGTACAATGACTGATATGACCAATAGTACTGGTATTCCAGGAATAGGAACTGGAGGTTCGGGGTGAGTTTCTAGAAACAGCATCACGGGTAGAGACTAAGTTCTGAAGCACAGATAATTTGTGGGTGAAGGTGATGTGTTCTGGGAATTATCAGATGACTCAAAAGAGTGTTTTCAAGAGACCATCAATATGAGAAGATACATATAAAGAGTTATGCAGACATATTTGTGAAATGTGAGGGTAGAAAAAGCAACATCTTATATGATCACTGATAAACAAGTCAGGCCTGACATATCTGCTAGGGCCCTAGAATATAAAAGGCCTTCTTTTCTGGCACTCTCACTGCCTGATCCTGGGTCAGAAACCCAGTTTGCACATGGCAGGGAGCTCAAAGAGGGCCAGAAAACCCCTCTAGTGGATATTCTCACACACTGAGGACAGGGTAGGAGCTTGCATGCATATGTACTCCACAGCATTCTGAAGCTTGTCCACAGACCACACAAGAGTCCCTCCAAATATGCATGAGAGATGTTACTAACAAAATATGCCCGTCTAGTCACCAAAATAAAAACTCAGTTCCAGAAAATTATTATGAGGGTCATCTGGTATTGAGCCAAGTTAATCTGCCAAGACAAAATGTAACCATCTTATTGTTGCGACTTTCTAAACAGGTTCAATCTTGTAAATCATTTTATTTTTGTGTGATGAATGGCTCTTGTTGCCTTCATTTTAAGATAGAGCTGGAAAATTATTACATGCTGATTATTGGATCACTAAGGTCTTTCTGTGGACTGGCTATATATAAAAAAAGAGAGAAGTGTGTAGTCTTGATCTCAGAAAAATTTTGATCTTTAGCAACCAAAGAAGATAAATGGGCAAATAAATAAAGGAGGTTTGAAGGTATTTGTTTTCATGGAATTTGGCCAGTGCAAAAGTTGGCTTTCCTTAGACTCTGTTGGCAAGTTCCATCTTGTTTCCCACAAGAATTTTTGTGATGGAAGTGATAATGGTTTCAGGTGTGGTCAGTGCATTTTGGGCATTCCTGATAGAACACTAAAAATGTCAAAGGGGTAGGGTAAAGTTCAGATAGAGTTTGAGAATTTCTAGACTCGGTAAGTACTTTTACATATGGGGCTGAAATGTAAAAAAATCAAATAATGAGATAAGATATCAATCTGTCCTGTGAAGTCAAGTCTTTTAATTAACAACAACAAATTTAAATAGCAACATCATGTTCTCCAGAAACCTTGGAGGAACCCCTAATAGGCTCTTTTAAAACTTGTATTTCTGAAGCCACTGACTGGATGCAAGAAAAGTGTTTTCTCAGAAACACTATTATTATTATATATTTTCATTTCCTAATCCTAAATTTCTAAAATCTCATTTCCTTTTATTCTTTTGTATTTTCTAGTAAAGGAAAGGGACAGCCTCATGAGGAAATCCATTCCTCCTTACAGAGTATGTAGAGTGTATTAGACAAATGCAGGGAAAATAAGTCTTAATTGGTATATATGTATATGTATGTTTTGAATGTTCTAAACTTGGGAGGGGAAAGGAGGGAAATTCTGTCTTTAGTTCACCAAACTCTGAACTGATTTTCTTAGGTGTATTTTCCTAAACTTCATAAAAAAAGCTAAACAGAGAGAGAGTTTCCATCTAGGGAAGTATCCTTGACATTGCAACAAAAGTCAACCAAGTGCTTCTGAGTTCATATGTTCTTGGTACCCTTTAGCAGAATTACATACTTTCTCTAATCAAGGATATTTAATGTTCTTCCTGCTTACAATTATAACCTTTCTTTCTTGGATTCAAAACTCCTAGGGCACATGAGACATACATATCCAAAGTTAAACTGTCTTTAGAAAAGCTATATTATTTGCTCAGTTATGATCTATAGTGGTCATTACGTTAGGAGATGTGGCCAGACCTACACATGCAAGTTTGGTTCACTGCAAGAATGCCCATGGCCACAATGGACTCCCAGACTGGTGTTCCTCCTCCTGCACTAAGTGACCAAAATGACTAGCAGGAAAAATCCTCTGGGTATACATCGCAGATTTTACTATATTTAAATCATAGCACAACGAATTTCCCTAACATTTCTTTTGAAAATATTTCATATAAGAAAAAATAATCATCAATAAAAAGCATTACAGTCATGCAAAACCAAATTATAAAAAGTTTTTTCTTTTAGTTTCTTTACCTTCTTAAGATAAGACTTCAATTATAAATGAACATTCAACTTCTTAGTTTTTCTAGACAGAACCTGCAGATATTTTGGATAGAGACCATTTGCCAAGCACAGAAAAGCCCTTGCTAGCCTTTTCTAAACTGATACTTATCCTGCTTTGTTCCTTGAAGTTTGTAAGTGAAGAACCTATGTGACTTACCCTATTAAAGCAGTGCTCATGATTTGGTCCATAGAAATGCTGGAGACATTTCACATTGTTTTTGTTGACGATCTTGTTGAAGAATTCATTGACATATTTGATAGGGAACGCACAGACAGCCGATCGATGCATTGGTTCAGCAGAATCTGGCTTGCTTTGTGCAAACACCCCGTAGAGAATGTCATCATTCACACTGACTCTGATTTGCTTAGCAAGATGGGCCCCAGGCTTACCAACATATGCAGCTTGAAGGATATTAAACACTTCCTGCCTCGTGGATCTCTTTCTTCTCTTTTCCGTGAGAATACACTCCAGAGGCATTTCCATGTAAGAATGCAGTCCAGAGTCTATGGAACAGAACCTGATTATTCTCGTGTGAAAAGTCTGAGCATCTAGAGTTTCCTTTTGGACTGTCAGAAAGTAAATGAAATGGCTGCTTTCAAAAGCATAGACATACTTAATGGGGTAAGAATCTCGGAACTCGGGTAAAACATCAATATAAGACTGGTCTGTCAAAAACTTAAAACCATCTTGTGTTTCCTTTAGCCTTCTCACCGATATTGAATGCAATGAGTGATTTGGCAGGTAAGAAGAATTTAGGGTATTGCCCACAAAGAAGTTGATGAAACGATCCTTTTCAGACAGGAGGACTTTGGCTCCCATCACGCTCACCACACAGTCAGGACACTGGCTGGGCTCTTCCTCCCCCTGTGGGGAGAACATGCAATGAACCCCTGACTGTATGTCAGCAGGATTACTGGGTGGAAGGATGTGTCGCTGGCAGGTCCCTCTGTTGACACTGCCACAACTAATGAGCTGGTCATCATAGTACGTGTCAACAAGCAGAGCCATGTTGATGTTATCTTTCCAAATGCTTCCTGATAAATTGGCTTTGCTGCTGCAGTCCTCACATGGAAGACAATCTGGGTGTTCCAGCACAGGTCCAGTCTTATACTCAGCTATTTTCTGAAGGTCTTTGTCATTTAAAACGTAAAGGTAGTTAGTAGCCCCCAGGTAAATGTGATGCCTGTGTAGAACGATGTGCTGTATGGGTGTTTCTGCAGTGAAGTTGGGAAGCTGATACTGCATATTCACGTTCATCTCAGACTTCACTAGTGCCTCTTTACACTCCCCATCGCTCCTCTGCACCAAGGTAAACAGCAGCACAAGGACACCAGGTGCAAGCGCAGCAGGGGCCTTCATTGTGAGCAGCTGATCTGCCAAAACATGTTCAAGGCAAGAGCACGTCAGTCGTCATTAGAAACAAACAAGAAAACACTGAAAGAGAACTATCCCAGTTGAACTCTCAGAAAGAATGCCTCCTAACTGGAATTTTTACATAGAATGGAAACAAAAAACTCTAGTTGATAGCACATAAAGATGCATTGTGTGGTAGGACATGACTCCACATGCTTTATTTTTAGAAGTCAAGCTATGAACAATTAATTTTAGAGAACCATTATGAGATGCAAACAAAGTTGTGTATTAATGGGATGCAGCAACTAAGTGAGACTCAGTCAGCAATGAAATAAGCAACATAGCACAGTTCTGTATTAACCCCTTGCTGGTTGTTTAATGTGGTTTCATAAATGTGGCTAATGATGAAGTTGATATTGATTTAAACTTTCTTAGTCAAGTAAAGGAACTGTGGTTCAGATTCATTTATTCTAAAATTCACAGCAGGCATTGTTTCCTTGGGAGCATGTAGAATTACTAGGCTAAATTTAGCTCCCTTTTGGAAGAAAACAATCATAACTTCTAGAGGCAAAATGATCACATGCTGTTTATAAGATTTTGTGTGCTGAGGAAAGGTATGGTTATAATTTGGCTATAGTTAACCTATTGTTTCAGGCAGACAAATGTTTAATGTAATGTCACTGGGACTTAAAAACAGCAGGCTGAACATGTATAAAATAAAATATAATCTTTAGAACTAAAGGCCTAAGACTATTTCTTAGGGAAAAATGACATATTGTTCATTACCAAGTCAAAAAGCTATTTAGTGAAAAGAACATTATTTCCATTGTAAGCACATGGACAATGTTCCTACCAGGAAGCATGCTTGGATTTGTTATTCCCTTTTTAAAAACTTAAGGCTCACAGGTTCTAAATATGTGAATTCTAATTATAATAGTTATAGGAAGGATAGTATGTTGGAAAAGAGAGGCCCTAGAATGAAAGAAACTAAACAGGTATTACTTTTTTAAAAGAGCATCATTCTGATAGCACAAAGGGAGTCTCTACAAGCACAGTTGGCATTATATGTCTGCCAAAGAACAACATGGTGATTACAATGCCACAAAAGAATTCACTGAGAGACTAGTATGTGTGTGGCTGTGCTTGCCCCATGAGAAATGGGACAGGGTTCTTGCCCTTTAGTGAACCTAAAAAGTAGGTAAGTGGTAACATACATACACTGACAACTATACTCCATTAGAACACAAACCAAAAGCTACCAGCATTGAGGAAGGGAGAAACGGCCTGCATTTATGATAATAATTCTGAGAAACAGGGACAAGTTTATTATGTTGTGAAATCCAGGGCAGTAAGGACAATGTTTGGCTTATCCCTGCATCCCAACTACCTGGTATGGAGTCTGGAACACAGCTGGTGTTAAACAAATATACACTGAATGAGCAAATGAAAATTAAGCAATAAGTTCAAAATCACATAACAGGTTAGTGTTGGTAGCCAAAACTTGAAAATATTTTTCTGATTCCAAAATCAAAGATACTTTTATCTATGAAAGTTCTAAGAATTGGGGGCTTAATCAGAGGTAATGAAAAGTCACTGAGTGGGTCTAGGCTTCATAGAACCATGGTTTTGGTCTGTAAAGATTGATCTGGAGACAATGGGACTTTCAGCAGGGAGAATTTGATAATGAGCAGATCAGTTGATCAGCTATTGTTGTAGCCTATAATGAAGTAGTAAGGGCTAGAAGTAAGATTGTGACCCCAAGAACAGAGAGAAGAGAGACACACAGAAGTTAGATTTGATTCCAAATTGGGAAGAATACAAAAGAGAAGGCAAAGGTGTCTGGCAGTCATCTGGGCAAAAGTGGAACAAGTGACAAAACTAGGGTTGCTAGCAACAGGAAGAAAGGCTAAAGATACTGGTTGTAGACATAATGAGTTAGTGGGAAAGGAGTGAATGTTCTACAACAGGAATGACTAGTAGGTTTCACATTATTTACCAGGAAGCCAGTGTCTGGAATAAGTGAAGAATGAAAATTCTGAGCAGGAAGAGCACATGTGCCAAGGAATATAGATGAGTAATGAAAAGCATTCAAGAGAAGCTGCCCTGGCTGGGAAAGGGGCATGAGTGATCTAAGATGAGACAGCTGTTTTGGGAGACAGTGGCAGGTGGAAGCAGAGTGCCAGGTATTTGCCATTGCTACACTAGAAGGGGAAAAATTGAATATTGGTGGAGAAATTTGGACTCTAGTTGGAGTAGAAATAAATTTTGCACATATCTGCTTGTAGGTGATGGTTAAAACCAAGAGTAGGTATGTTCATGGAGGGATTAGAATGAATGGACTAAATCTTGGAAAAAACCCTCTCACATTAGTAAAAGTGTCAAGGAAGATTAAGGTCACAGAGACACTGAAAGCTAATATTGCACAGTGTCACAGAAGCCAGACAAGTGTCTTAAGAAACAGAATGCAGTTCTTGTGAAAGCTCTTTGTTGATGCTTGCCTGTGGTAATCCCAGTACTAGGGAGTCTGAGGCAGGAGGACTGCCATGAGTTGGAGGTCAGCTTGAGTAACATAGGAAGTTCAAGCCCAACCTGGAATACATGAGACCTTGTCTCAACAAACAAACAAACAACAAAAACCCCAAAAGAGAGTAGTTTTAATGGATTTAATAGTGGTGTCAGACATTAAAATCCAAAGTAATGTTGATGAGGAAGTAGAATGTTTGTAAGAAAGAAAAAGCACTAGGCAAATAACAGAGCTTAGGGAAGTTTATTCTTAAATTGTAGGAAAGACATGTTTATTGTAGGACTGCTCTTTCTTTTACTAACATTGATTCAGTGTCTACACAGACATGGCAGCTTTTCTGGGAAGCTCAGAGTCACTTGGTGGAGTCAATGGTTTAAACAGTTACAGTGACACATGCAGACCCATGTGTACAGCAGCACAATTCATAATAGCTACATACTGGAAGTAACTTATATGGCCATCAACAGATGAATGGATAAAGAAAATGTGATATTTACACACAATGTAGTACTACTCCGCCATAAAGAAAGATAAACTTGAGTCATTTGTAGGAAAATGGGTGTACCTTCAGACCATAAAGTTAAATAAAATAAATCAGACAATTGACAAGCTTCAAAATGAAGTTTCTCTTATACAAGAAACCCAAAGTATCAATAAAAAAATAATAGGAAACAGGGAGATAGCTTTTTTGCAGGAAGGAAGGGGATGAAGAGATGGGGGAAGAGAATAAACAAGAATTAGATGTGTTATGTACATGTAAAAAAAAGCATGTAATAAAAGCCTGTAAACATTATGTTCTGCAAACATGTACTAATAAAAAAAATTAACAAAAGATACAGTTATAGGAATGCAGATGAGGGGTGACCAATGAGATTGGAAATCATGCTAGAACTGAGTCCTCTCCTTAGAGGAGAATTAGGAATGGAAATTCCTAGCAGGCAAAGCAGTTGTACCAAGGCATAGAGGCAGTGTAGAGACATGGCATGGAGAAGAGAGTAATAAGTAGTTGACCCTGGAGAAGTGGGGAAATCAAAGAGGCAAAAGAGAGAGAAAATTGTTGGAGCAATATTCCAATGGAGAAAAAGAAGCATTTTCAAGATCCCTGGAACATAAGAGAGGTCACTCCCTCTGAGACAGCAGGAGGGGATAAGAAGTTACATGAAAATAGAAGGACACCTAGGGAATTCATGAATATGACGTCAATGTTCTAAAAATAAATTAGGTACATGATCATCTGCTGAAAGTGACAGATACAGAGGAAGGACTAGAGGCTTCAGGTGGAGGAAGTTTAGAATAACCACAGCAGGGCACACAAACTGAGATTAGCAGAAAATGGATGAAAAGATAGTTCTGAGGGTGCCTTTGAGTTCTAGGGCTTCTGTAGGATACCATGTGTTGGGACTTCCTCTTTACTTTCCTGAAAGATGAAGAAATACAGGGAAGACAGTCAAGGACACAATGATCTTCTGAGTCCAAGTAAACACAACAAGCTTTTAAGAAATAAGCAGAAGTAGAAAACTGTAGTTGGACCAGAGAGCAAAGTGAAGTTTTAGTAAGGCAAGGAACTGGAAGATATATACCATATATTAATAAAAATACAATAATACACATTGAGTCCTTACCACATGCCAGACATTCTGCTAAACCCTCTGATTTAGTCTTCATAAACGTCCTGTACACAAGGGAGTACCATTATCCTCCTCTTCTGGATCAGCACACTTGTCAAAATCCGACAGTTAGAACCAGGACTCAATTCTATGTCTAATAGGCAGGAGTTCATTCACACTTGTAAATACTTCTTTCACCCAGAAGCAGCTCCCTGAGAGCTGAGGGACCTTGCATTGGGATAGAAGTTAGGCAGTCAGACCGCTGATGCTGGCTTTTCCCTATCTAGCTCTGTGATTTCTGACCATTCATTCACCTATGCATCCCCAGGTCCAAAATTCTCACATGGCTGCTTTTCAGTATCTAAAAGGGCCAGGGATTTAGCTCAGTGGTTCTGCTGCCTGCCTTGCAAGCACAAGGTCCCAAGTTAGATCCCCGGTACAAAAACCAAAAAACAAAAAGAGTCTCATCTTTAGGAACACTTTATGACTGTTACAGGGCATATAATAAATGTAAGGAGTGTATCTGTCATTTTTATATATAATTCTCATTGTTTTGAAATGTACTAGAAAATTTTTGATGTCAGTAAGGAGAAACAAGGAATAGAAGAAAAGGATTAGTGACAAATTGTTTTATCAGTCCAGAGCATATGATGTAAAGAAATTAAATGGTCTTTTCGATATGGTGACAATTGGTGTATGTTCAAAATTGGGAACATTAGCCTGACAAATAATTTATTACTGTGTTTTCCCTAGAAAATATAATAGAGAAGGAAATAAAAGAACCATTGTTACTAATAGAAAGAAAAAAAATAACATTACATCCAGTTTACATCTTAGTGATTAAGATGGTACAGAATGTGAATGACTTTTCTTTTGTCTCTTCTAGGCTTTTTGAAGAAGTCTTCAAAATGATCTTGCTTGTTAAAAAAAACTGAGGTACTAAACACTACATTATGTTTCAAAAATAAGTTTCATATCTTAAAGTTGATACATAAATCTTTCACTGTACTAAATCTCAATTAGCTAGAATCTAGGAAATGTACAGATGAGCTTTTTGTTATCTTGCTAGATGAGATAGTAAATCATAAGAAAACCAGAAGGGAAGAAGAATTATTTTCTTCTATTTCAGGAAAAATCTTTCAAAACATATAATGGAATTAGTACCTTAGTCTCCTACACTTTCTTTTCATTCTCTGATAGCAAACTGTGATGCCATATTTCAGATTAAGAAAGCAAAGAAAGGTTAATTTGCCCATTAAAGAAAAAGACAGGATTAGGCCCTATTATCAACATTTTAAATTTAAAATGCAGCTTTCTATTTAAAGCCAAGACAATGAGAAAACTTAATTACCTAAAAGACTGCATTTTCTTGACCATTCCAATTATTTAAGGTCCCTCTCCCTTAACAAGGGTTTGTGTGGCTCAGACCAGATCTCCAGGAAATGTCTGTATCCTTCCTGAGGGATGAAGGGAGACTTTTTATAAGTTTTTCGCTAGGCTGGGTACTCTGATAACACTGTCAGTTAACTGAGTGACAGCTGAATAGTAAAGTCACATACTCTGGAGCCATGTTTCAAGGTTTGAATCTATCCTTGGGCAAGTATGACCTTGGGCAACTAACTCTTAAGTCTCTATGTTCTCATCTGATGTATGGGTGTGACCAGTGTACCTACTTAAGTTGTTGTGAGTTATTCTGTGGATTCAATGAGCTAATGCATGTATGCCACTAAGAACAATGTCTGGTACATAGCAGGTGAACAGATGTTCTCTATTATTGTTCATTCATTTCCTCAATAAACACTGAAGCATCTATACTGTCCAAAGTGTTGAAGATACAAAGATAAATTACTTTCCAATTGTTAGGGAGATCTCCGACAAGTAGGGTAGACAGGCAAAAAGGCCACAGTTTAAACTCAACATGGGAAGACCTATGAAGGAACCCTAAACTAGGCTAAGGGAGTTAGGTGGGTTTACCAGTCAATTGATCATGGTCCTTTGCTCATAACGCATTCGTAATCTTGAGGTGAAGAAATGGAAAGAACCTAGGTTAGTTGAGGCAGTGAAGCTAATTAATTCTATGACCCAAAGCAAGCCACTCAGTTTCTTTGGTCTCAACTGCTTTCTGCTTGATCAAATTACAGTGCTGACCCAGTCGCCTGCTGAAGTTTCCTGGTACTGGCTTAAGGCAATCTATTTTGTGAATGTCCTTCTAACTCACATTTCAGTAACCTCATCTTGCTAGTCTGCAATCAGCTACGGTAGGAGTATTTATACCCCAGAAATTGGCAACCACCACACATCAGAGTTGTTTTTCCTCCCCTGGAGGGAGGGCTGGTTAATACATATTTACCAGTGATTCTTGGGTTGAACTAATGAACTCCAAAGTATATTCCAACTCTAACAATTTTCATCTCTGAGATTGTTTTTCACAATTACACGTTACTCTAATGCCACTGGCTTGGCACATGTTATTTTCACTTCCTCATGTATGCTATATCTAGCTGTACAAGCAATTTTAATATTTATATTGGTAGTGACTCCAGAAATACTTTCACTTTTTGTATATTTTTGTCTTGATATTTATTCCTTCGAAGCGCCTGAATCAAGCTTTCAACATAGAGTATCTTTTAATTGCTTTTTTTTTCTTCCTGAAAGAGTGCTAGCCATTTTACCAATTCTGAATTCTTTACTAAATGGAACACGTAAAAATGATTCAAAGAGAATGACTAATTCATTCCCTTGAAATAATGTGCATGTATCGGTGAAACTGAATCATCCATAAAACATTTCTTTATTTCTTTTCAGTTGATAGTTAAGGTAATCTCACTGACAAAACACTTCCGGGGAGTGATCATCTCAACTGCACCTTGGCCATAAAATTTTTGGTATTTAGTAGTATTTCCTTTTAAAAAGACTGCTTTTAGCTATAAAATTGGCTCAGCCTAAACTTTAAACCAGCCACTCAATTCTGTGGGCTATCTACCTACCTCTAGTTTTACCACTGAACTAGCTTACACTGGTCTTTTTATTTCCCAGATGTCTAGCAATATATTTAATTTGTCAAGTATTTACTGAGTAGCCACCTGTGCCTACCAACACTTTCATCATCTTCCTCCTCCTCCTCAATGGAAACATGTTGCAAAGTATATTTTTGTTGTATGCAAGTACTGATTCCTCAGGAAAAACACAGAAATTGTAATGGAATAATTTTTTTAAGAGACAGACTTTCTAAACTTTGATCCAAGTAACTTTGTTTGCTTTAGGCATTGCTTTTCTTAGAAATCATAATAATTTATGACTGAAGAAAGTACTTTATAGTTTACAAGATAGTTACACCATCTCTCTTCTAATCATATAAGGTGAGAATTATTCAATGTTTTTAGCTGATAAAAATGAGGTTCAAAGAGGGTAAAATATTACCTAAAATGTAGTGAATATGCAATCTAGGTCTTCTCAGTATTTCTAATTCTTTTAGTACAAAGATATGATACTTATTTGAACTGTTTTGAATTATCTGCATTTCCTGGAAATGGCATTTCTTCAAAAGGCATGACATTTTAATCAGCACCTATGATCACCTTCACAGAACCTACTGTTTCTTCTAAGGTAACTCTTGAATATTCTCTTTCCCCTATGTACTGGAACTGTTAGTTAATTCCATGGCTCACCTATCACCTCAGAGTGAGCATGCAAACCATGTTGACCTTCTTTTGACCTATGCCTGGGCAGAGATGAGCATGAGCAAGGCAAGCCAATCGGAGTCTTTTCTGAGATTTAATATAGACACTGGGAGAGGACCTCTCTCTGTCAGAGATCACAAGTACTAAAGATATTATCTTGGAAGACCTTTGCCACTATGAAACTGACACAAAGGACAGGAGGGCCTGGTTCCTGATGCTACTGTATTTGAGCATCTGTATCCCAAACTAATGGGAACCAGTAATATTTCTTCTTCCATCTTTCTTTGTCATCAAAAGTTTCATAATGATTCTTTTATTCCTTGCTCCTCAAAAAGTCTGGAAGAAATAATTTCCAGTATTAAATACTACAAACTTGTGAGTTTAAACACAAGTGCATAAAAACAATTTCATATAAAAGATTCAAGTAAATGGGACAAAGGTGTTATCTCTATTTACTTAATAATTACTTTAAGTATTTTCCTTTGCACTGAGGAAATATCTATTAAGATTTCTGAGGTGATATACCAGTTTTTCCTATTATATAATTCTGAAATCTTTTGCAATATTTATATAACATAATCTTAAACTTTAAAAGATATATCCAAGTGAAGAGTACAAGACATAAAAACTAAAAAATATTTCAATACTGCTTTTAAACATATAAAAAGAATTTATGATGATAGAAAATGGCCAAGACTATGTAACAGGGAAAATATAATAATGGCTAAATATCCAGGAGGACTTGGTAGAGTAAAATCTCATCCTCTTTTTTTACAACTTTTTTCACCCCCCTCAATTTCTTGGTTCCCTTTTGCAAAAGATCTATCACCCATGTCCTATATCTTTTATTTTGCTCTTTATATTTTGGGTTTTTCATAAAAAAGAAACCATGCAATTATTGAAGCTTGTATGTCTAAATTATTTCACTTAGCATTACGGTCTCAAAGTGCCTCCATTTTCCTACAAATGAGTCAAGTTTATCCTTCTTTATGTCAGAGTACTACTGTAAATACCACATTTTTTTTATCTACTCATCTGTTGATGGACATATAGACCACATTCCAAGATTTAGCTCTTATGAGTCATGTTGCTATAAACATGAATATGCAGGTATCACTGTAAGATGATGTCTTGAACACTTTCAGGAAGACACCTAGAAGGAAAATATTTGGGTCAAGTGAAATTTCTAGTTTTAATTTTTTGAGGATTTCCATAGTGGTTGTACTAGGTGACATTCTCACCAACAATGTAAAGGATCCCTCCCCACCCACCGCAGCCTCACCAGCATTTGTCATTATTTGGTTTCTTGATGATAACTCTTTCTGGAATAAGGTGGAATTTCACTGTTGATTTAATTT